TGCTTTGTAGAAGCTTTTAATTTTGATTTAGTCCCATTTGTTTATTTTTCTCATAAGTTTCCATTGCCCTAGGAGAAGTATCAGCTACCATTGCTATTAGAGATGTCCGAGATGTTTTCTTTATGGTTTCACAACTTACATTTAAGTCTTTTATCCATCTTAAGTTTATTCTTGAGTATGGTGTCATTGGTGTTCTAGTTTTTTGTTTTTCTTTTGTACTTGTCTAATTTTCCCAACACCATTTATTGAAGAGACTTTATTCCCTGTGTTGTACTTTATATACCTGTGGCTATTTTGCAACTGCCAATTTGTACTTCTTAATCCCTTTTCTTTAACAAATATTTTTGTTCAATATTTGGGCATATAACTTAAGCCCTGAAGATGCTAAATTGACATAACCCCTGATTGACATGATATGCAATAGACACTGGCTTATTTTCTTTGAAAAAAACCTTCCCAATAGTATTTATTAAAGGTTACTCCTATGCTGTGGAATGTGGCCCTGGAGTCCCATCCCTTTCCTCAGTTTCTTCTCTTGGTGCTTTTTTCCAAAAAATCCTATTCATATTCAACCCCACTCTGCTCAGGACTTCCAGACTACTGGCCATTGCTAACAGGTTTAAGGCCAAGCTTTCTATTGATAGTATAGCCTTTAAGGCCCTCCACCTACTTACCTTCCCAGTTTTTTGCCTATTCTTCACTATGTCGGCCTCATTCACCTTGGAGTAAGACTGCATACCTGCTTCTAAGCAGGCCATTGCATCTCTGTATCCTCTGGGGCATCACACATCTCTACCTAGGACATTTGGGTACTCTTACCCCCATTCCCACTGTATCCCTTTTTCAGAATCCATCTTATCCTTAGAGACCAGTGCAAATACCACTGAACTATGGTATTTTATTTCCACAAAAGGTTTTTTTCTCTTCTATTACAGAACTTCTCAGAATGTTTTTCTTTTATATAACAGTTTTCTGTTATTCAGTAAGTGTGTTGGGGTCAGGAATTGGTCCTACAGCCTAACCCATAGTTCCTTAAACATAGTGTTCCATTTATACTGGGTACACTGAAATTTATAGGAAGCTCTTTAACCTGGGTCCTTGGGTCTCCACGGGATCCATGGATATAATATGAAGTGTGAAGGTTATTAAGCTCTTATCAGATGTTATCTGATTAGGAAGTGGGAAAATTACATATTGGTTTTCACTAACTTCTCACTGAAATGTAGCTCTTCTTTCAATTATGAATGTAGGCCAAAAAAAAAAAAAAAAGTAGTAATGGCAATTTCTGTGACTTTGTCACCAATGGAAATAAAGGAACTTTTATATCACAAATTAGTTATTGTAGATTTCTCAAAATATTATTTATGCTCAACACAGTTGAAATTATAGCAGTAGTAACTAATAAGGTCAAATCCTAGGTAATTACTTAAAATTATAATAAAGGACATACTAAGTTTTTATAACTATTTCAATATAATTGTCTTCTTTTTATCTACTTTATTTCATATATTTACAAGTATCATATTCTGAGAAGGGTCCATAGAATTCACCATACTGCCCAAAAGGGTCCATGTCACAAAAAGGTCAAGTTGTAAAATGTTCCCACTTATGAATCTGTATGCTATGCTATATGTATCTTTTATATCCCCTTGCTTAGTACTGTTCACTTAGCCAATATTTTATGTGCTAACATAGCCTTGGGTATTGGAGTGGTAACTCTAAGTAAGACAGAAACCTTGAGGTGAGAATGAAGTCCAATGTACTAAAAGACTCACTGTCCCATTTCTGCTTTTTCTTTTTAAAAAAATATATTTTATTGATTTTTTTACAGAGAGAAAGGGAGAGAGATAGAGAGCCAGAAACATCGATGAGAGAGAAACATCAATCAGCTGCCTCCTGCACATCCCCCACCGGGGATGTGCCCGCAACCAATGTACATGCACCCGACCGGAATCGAACCTGGGACCCCTCCGTCTGCAGACCAACGCTCTACCACTGAGCCAAACTGGTTTCAGCTCATTTCTGCTTTTTCCTATTCCCTCAGTCATTGGTATTTTGAAGTCTCTCCTGACCCAGCTCAGTGGTGATTTGAGGCTAAATGCGGAGGCCAATTTTCAGCATATTGGGCCTCATTCCCCCTGTCTTATGAGGCCCTCTTTTAAGGAGGTCACTGGATTGGCAAGAAACCTAGGGTAACACTGAGTCTAGGTGGCTAACCTTGTCCATTGCCTCCCACTAGGGTACTTGCCTTACTTGTTCCTGCCTTCAGGGCCTTTCCTGTCCCATTGTCATTCCTGAAATAGATTTCCTCCCTGGCTCCCTGGTGAGATTTATTTACAAAGTTGTTCCCCAGACCTGGTCCTCATTGAATTGTTTAGCTAGCAAAATGGCTGTCTGGCCTCCGCTTCCCCCACTAACTGACCTCTGTGCTCAGGAAAGGCCTAGAGGTGTCAAAGACTGATAAGGCTTAATGTGTTACCCATTCCAAGGGGATTTGCATATTTGGCAATTCTACTTTTAATCTCTACACCCCCCCATTAGTAAAATAGTAAATCAGCATCCTAGAAAATGGAGAAGATCACCACCCCAAAATCAACCCTAACTAACACTTAGACATGATTCTAATCTCTCTATGCAGTTTTTACAAAATTGAGCTCATGCAATCTTGGTACTTACTCTTCCTCACTTAATATTACTAAGGTATTTTCTCTGGGTATGAAGTACTCTTCATAAAAATTTTATATGATCATATAACCACCTATCTTATGGTTGTGCCATATAGATTACTTAAGAAAAATGTCCAACAATTTTTAAAAGATCTTTGATTTCTTTTAGTGGGAGACATTTTACATTTTTATGTAAAAGGTGTTTAGCATATTGGTTTAAATTTGAAGTTCGGACCTCAATCTAAATTCAAACCACATCTTTCTCAATAGTAATGTGACTTTAGACACATATCTACTTCTTCATCCTCAATGTGGAGATGATACTCTCTACTACACAGGGTGATTGTTGATATTAAATTGGGTGGTGTATATGAATGCATAGTGACTAGTAAGTCTCCATACATGAAAGCTGCTACTTATTGTTGCTATTAGTATTATTACTACCAAGTTTTCAGCCAAAGGAACAAATCTGTACTGATGAAATTTCAGCTATCATTGACTTGAGATAAGGGATCTATTCATAAAGGTGGAGGATACTTTTGCTAGCGCCTATTGAAGGTGGGGTTTGGGGAATGGATCTCCCCCTTGCAGGTACTTGCCTGACAAAGTTTGAAGAATAACATTTGTGGATTAAAAGGACTTGTTAGGCCGAAACCAGTTTGGCTCAATGGATAGAGCGTCGGCTTGGGGACTAAAGGGTCTCGGGTTTGATTCTGGTCAAGGGCATGTACCTTGGTTGCGGGCATATCCCCAGTAAGGGGTGTGCAAGAGGCAGCTGATCAAAGATTCTCTCTCATCAATGTTTCTAACTCTCTATCTTTCTCCCTTCCTCTCTGTACAAAATCAATAAAATATATTTTTTTAAAAATAAAAAGGACTTGTTAGTAAAAGGGTGGAAATTTATTGGAAGCAAATACAGAATCCCATGTAGGGAAGAGTTCCCAAGGGGGTAACCAACTAAACCCCTTTTTTCTAAGGTTTATAATTGCTGTAGTTCTTTGTCTCTTCATGCTCCCTTCTAATTGGACCCTTTCCCCATTTATGACCCTGTGCTTTTCTAATTGATTGCTCTTTTGTAGAATATCAGCTTCAAAGTCCAAAACCCATGTGGTTTGCAACATTCCTCTATCTCCTGTGAACATAAGTTTCCCTCTTTCCAGTATTTGTCAACATTTCTCTATTCTCTGTGAGTGTGTGCTTTTTGGTGGCTCCAAGCCCTCAACTATGCATTTTCGCCCATCGACTCTATTCCTAAGATTCTCTAAACCTGCTTATTTTGTCTTTAGAATTCCTTTCACTGTGAAATCCTGCAAATGGTTGCCTCTTTTTGTTTTTGTTTTAAATCTGGGCCTTTCTTTTCTTTTTCTGTCTGCTAACTTGGCTTTGGTAGCACCTCTATAATACTATAATACACCTACCTCTGCTGAGGCTTCTTTCCTGTCTTGCACCTAAGGAGACCAGTGAGACATAAATATAAAAAGCATTAACAATGCAAGTTAGTATCAGTACCAAAATGGTCCTTGGATATCACCTAATGTTTTTGACTAATCGCTATCCCCATTCCTTCCCTCGAACAGGTGAGGGGAACTAAAGTCCAGGAAGGGCATAAGATATATCCAAGGTTATAGATTAGGGCAGTTGTAGTGCTCGGCCTGAAACGCAGTGTTCTTTATCCTATCCTTAATTTCGTGTTGCAAAGACCAGTGCTTTAGATAATCTAGGCTGTAAATCAGAGGTGTAAAGAGGATGCTGCAGACAAGAGTAGGGGCTGGCTAGAGTAGGTGGGGAAGGCTTCCTGGAAGAAACACAGTCAGCACTTGCTTCCTCTTGATAGTAAGCTGTAAATTTGTTTGCCCCTTAGTAAGCATTGCTCTGTTGCTATGTTGTTTTCTCTTTAGTAGTAAGCTGGTTGGAAGCAGGGACTGTGTTATTATTTCCTCCAATATTCTCCCATCCTTGCCATCCAAAATCTAAATTGCTCAGGTTCTGCCCACCTGGAGTTGCTCAGTGGTTAAGTATTGACCCAGGAACCAAGAGGTCATTGGTTCAATTTCTGGTCAGGGCATACGCTAGGATTGTGAGCTCAATCCCCAGTAGGGGAAATGCAGGAGGCAGCTGATTAATGATATTCCTCTCTCATAGATATATCTATCTTTCTATTCCTCTTCCTTACTCTCTCTTTCTAAAAATCAATAAAAACATATTTCAAATAAAATACATTGCTCAGGTTCTTAGCACCTAGTTCCCTCTTCTGTGGTTGAGCAAAGACACTTGTCCCAGGCTCTGCTGAGCACAGACCCAGACAACTAACTTGCCTCCTTTGATCCATCCTAGATCAATGTACGTGTGACCACTATGGATGCAGAACTGGAGTTTGCCATCCAGCCCAATACCACCGGCAAACAATTGTTTGACCAGGTAAGTACAGACGGAAGGTCTTGTTGCCCTTAAGTCTTTTTCACTTTATCTTAATTGTTCCCACTATAATGCCTTCTTCTTGGGAATTTTTTTTTCCTACTCACTTCTCTAAGATGGGTCAAAACAAAGGATAACCCCAGCCTTAATAACAAAGGAGACAATGTTTAACTTTGCCAACCTGCACCTTGGATGGCTCCGATTAATGTTATTCGTGGTCATGAACATGGCAGAATGGAGAAGCAAATTGGGTATTATTATATGCTAGGTGCTCTAAAAATGAAAGAAGCGGGTTTGGGGGGGTACTGAGTGAAAAAGGTGAAGGGATAAAGTAGAAATTGGTAGTTACAAAATAGTTACTGGGATGTAAAGTACAGTATAGGAAATATAGTCAATAATATTGTAGTAACTATCTGTGGTGTCAGGTAGGTAGATGGGAACTTGAAATATCAAGGGAACATTTTGTAAAGTTTATGCTTGTCTAACCACTATGTTGTACAACTGAAGCTAATGCAAAATAATATCGAATGTAATCTACAATTGAAAAATGAAATTCAGAAAATATGTTAGCACACTCTGAAGAATGTAAGTGATCTCTTCTCCATTTTAATAATGAGGCTAAGAAATTAAATAACTTAATTGCATCCAGCTGGTATCTAGCTGGGATTTAAATCCCACAGGCTTGTTGCTGCACCACATGGCTTCTGTCACATATTCATTGTTGTTTTCTTGTACACAGAAACTAACTTATTATTGCTGAGGTTGAATGCTCTTTGTACATTTCCCACAAAGGAATATTGGGACTTAGGACACTCTTGAAGATGATGAATGCAATAGGAGGGTGTTTCGTCTCCTGTAGTTATGCCATGGAGATGATATTGATGTGGTTATTCCTGTTTCCAATCCAAATGGTATCCCTTTGCTACAAATCATCATTATCATAAAGAATGTACTATATAATAGCTAGGTGGGGGTCACAGAATCTTTCAACATTCAAAGACTCTCCAAGGGCCAAGGGAATGTCTCATCTATGACCAGACTTTCAGGAGTGAAAATGTGGTTCCCATTTCCAGTGGCTAGGATTCTTCTAGATAGGCTATTCCTTTTCCTCACCAGCCTCTGGTGAGGTGGAGGTCTGACATTGTCCAGGATGTTAGGACTATATATTACCTTGATGCATTTTCCAAGCACTCTTGCTTTCCTTTCTCCTTTGCCCTCAGAGTCCCTCTATAGTCTGAGAACTTCCCTAGAGTTGGGAAGGGAAAGAAGAAAGACAAAATAGGTTATATTTAAATGAGATGATTCTATTCCTATGAATACCTCTGAGTGGTGAGGGGAAAGACAATGAGAGGAAGGTGAGGGTAAGAGGCTGTTTATTTCAAGCTCTCCTTGTAAAAGGAAGGAAGAGATGGCTGGAAATCTGAGGAAAACTTGGTTGGGCATGCCCCTCTTAGTCCCTGATGTCACATGGTAGACTGAAAAACCATTGTTTATGATGAATACAGATGAGAGATAATGTTTGTTCAGGGCTTACTTTACACCAGGTACACCAAAGCCCTTGAGTATAGAAATTAGTACTGACCCCATTTTACAGATGAGGAAACAGAATCTTCATTTTCCTAGCTAAACCTTATGGAAATTATTGAACCTCTCCTGGTTGGTATTTTCATCTCCCCACCCCCCAAAAAGAGTTGGTCTAATACCTAACTAAAAGGCTTTTTTTGAGGTTATGAAAAGAGTATATTGTTTATATCTCACTTGTTAGCCAAAAACTTGTTATAGTGGTTTATGATGATACATAAAGTTCAAAAGGATAAATTAGAAATAGCTGCGAATACAAAACAGGGAAGAGAGAGTGAGAGAGGAAGGGAGAGACACATTCATTTGTTGTTCTATTTATTTATGCATTCATTGGTTGATTCCTGACCGGGGATCGAACCTGTAACTTTGGTGTATTGGGATGATGCTCTAAGCTGAGTTAAACCAGCCAGGGTTAGCAGAGATGTAATAAATAACTCCCAAATGCCATGAAGCTTTTTGTCTTGTTAATAAAAGATTTGGGGCTTGAAGATCCTCAGAGTATGTAACTTTGAATTTAGCTGTAATTTGCTTTTTCTCTGGAGTTTGTTTTGTTTTGAATAGTGAAGGGTCATCATTAATGTTTAATTTGTAAAATTACAAACAGAGGAACATTTAAACACACACTTACTACAATTAAAGTAATATGCTGACATTCATGTAGCTCACAAGTGATTACAGTGCTAGTCTGAATTACTGAATGCATTCTGATTATATTAAGGCTTTGCATTCTCCTCTTGTATGAAGGTTTTTATTAGAGAGCTTTTAAAGGAACAATCTGGTGAAATTGAAAGAGCACTGGATAGTAAGTTAGAAATATTGGGCCCTAGGGCTGGCTCTACTGCTATTTTTCCTGATACCTTACACAAACCTCTTCTTTCTTTGGGTCTCAGTTTACCCATCTGTACAATGTCTAACTGATCTCTCAAGTCTGGTTATCTTTCAAAAATTTATCTCCAGAATTTGTTTCTGCATTTCATATCTTTCCCATTTCTAACCCACCGTTTGGAGTTCATATGGCCCTTTTCTATAAAAAGGAGGGGAATGCCTCACTTGAGTATGATTAGCAGTTGGAATATGTGTAGGGGAGGGGAAGCTACCTGGAATGTGGGATATTTCTTCCTGGACAGGCTTCTTAGTGTCTCTGGAACAAAAAGGAGAAAGTGTCCATACACTAGAAGACGGTTTGGACCTTTGCTTCAGAAAGCAATATCATTCTGACAGCTGCTATAGAGGGGAGAGCATCAGTCAGTGTGGATTTTATGGTGCAGCTGGGAACCAGAGACTTCTTCAGACTTTACCCAAACATCTTCCCAGAGCCCTGGTTTTATACACTACCCCTCTCAAGCCATTGTCTGCCTTCAACACTGGAGGCGTTGTTCATTTGCATTGGAGGGGGATAGATGTGGAGGGCGAGAAAGGCATAATTTAGAGCCTAGGGCAGGAAAATCCTTAAACAAAAAAGATTATTAATTTCAGAAAGCCACAAATCAGAAATTCATTGTTTAATGTTGTTTTGGTTTGTGTACTGTGGTGTGATTCTGAGGGAAGCCCAGCTGGTAAGGAGCCCTGGCAAGATTGATATGCTAGTTCTGAAAGCTACTACTTCCCAAAGAAAGCCTTTGAGAGACTTGAATCTTTCATACTGGTTGAAGAAAGAAAAGGCAGAAAGCCAAGAAGTTCATGACTTCCCATCTGGAAGATCAGTGATGTTTTGAGAAATATCATTTATTGAGCACCTACCATAAAGTAGCCCTGGCTAAGTGCTTTAATTCTCACATGATCTTTCTTAAGATAAGTGAAGAATACACCCTATGCCATTTAGTCTGTAAGTTGTGATATGGAGTTCCAAAAATAAAGATTTGACACAATATTTAAGCTTTTCCTCACCGTACTAATCTGCTTAGGGTAAATGAGGCTGTTTGGCTTGGAGAACAATCAAGAGAAGATGTATTCTCTTGTTGGGGTCTCTGAGGAGCTCTTTTAGGAAGGAGGGAGCAGTCATCCTGTGAGGTAGGAAGGAAACCTGTAGGTAAAACTTCAAGGAAACCCTGGCTGGTGTGGTTCAGTTGGTTGGAGTGTTGCCTGGTACACCAAAATGTGGTGGATTTGATTCCCTCAGGGTACATACCCAGGTTGCAGTTTTAATTCCTGGTCAGAGCATGTGTGGGAGGCAACTGATTGATGTTTTTCTCTTATCTATCTATCTATCTATCTATCTATCTATCTATATCATCTATCTATCATCTATCTATCTCTCTCCCTTCCTCTCTCTAAAGTCTATTTTTAAAATCTTCCAGGAAAAAGATTTGAGCATCTGACACTTTTGGGGCCAAGACAAGTCTAGGCAGGAATCCACAGAAGTATGTGTTCACAGGCTTTGGGGGATATAATTTCTTCCCACTAAACTGATGAGATATAAGGGAGGAAGTTCATTCTGTCTGGCCTTTGAGACCTATCATTCAAGGAGGTCCTCCCTATGGAACTGGGCCTAAGAGGAAGGAGTTGGACTTCTTGGCCGGTTGACAAAAGCTCTGGGGCCATCCTGAAACCAAGCAATTATCTAGCTGATGACCAGAGAGGAAGACAACTGGAGAGGAAACACCTTGTTGGTACCAGCAATAAATAACAGGCAATTATGGGAAGCCATAGCTTGAGGAAACCCAAGGACTACTGGGAAATGGAATTGAGATTCATGGTTCCTCCACTTTTACCTTTGTTTCTTCTTATGAGTGTGCTCACAGGTAAGGAGGGGAGAGAACATGTTTTACAACAACATTCTGTCACATACCTCTATGTCTAAAGCCTAGAGTTGTTCAGATGGCTCTTGATTATCTAGATGGCATTAGGGGGCAGTGCTACCACCATGAATTCCACTTGGAGAAACCTCTGCTTGGCTCCTTCCAGCCAGGGGCTCTACCACTACTCTAACTTTGTTTTAAAGAATGCAATTGTCTTAAAAAATGTACATATATATTATTGGTTTCAGAGAGGAAGTGAAAGGGAGAGAGAGATAGAAACATCAATGATGAGAGAGAATAATTGATTTCGCCTTCTTCATGTCCCCCTACTGGGGATCAAGCCTGCAACCTGGGCATGTGCCCTCACCGGGAATCAAACTATGACTTCCTGGTTCATAGATTGATGCTCAACCATGGAGCCACACCAGCTGGGCCTCTAGTCTAACTTTACCTGCTCTGCCCCCTTCCCTCAAGATGGTAAGCTCTTGAAAAAAGGTGAGATCTCAGAGCATCCATTCATTCAACTATTCATTGACTGACTCAATACTGACTGAAAGTCTACTGTGTCTCAGGGAGGATCTCTTGACCCATTAAACACAATCTCTGCCCTTAAGGAAAGTAAATGTAACTCTTCCCCCACTTAGAATTAAAGAAACATCTTTGAAGCTCAGGTTGTACATAGAT